CGATCATCGATTGCTCTGTTATCCCGTTCATAACATCAAAATAAAATTCCCGCAGACGCGAGAGCTTCGACTGACCCATTGGCCGAACCACACTTTTAAAGTATCGTCGAGCCTTTCACGAAATCATTATTATATTTTTATTAAAAGATATTTTATAAAATATAAAATATAATACGGATTCTCAATTTGATAATTAATAATTGAGATCTTATTGCCAGTCCAACAAATTTATCGATGTTGACGCACATCTTATATATCGCAGCGTCACTTGCTCTAGTTTGATATATTTGATTGATATATTTAATCTCCATATAATAATTTTCGTTTTTATTAATTATCGTGGATGATTCAAAAAGCGAGAATCGAAATGTCTAACTAATTTGTTACTTAATAAAGAATTTTAATTCGCACACGAACACGTAGTGTTGGCTCTGATTGGCAATTGTATTTTTGTGATTTATATTTTTATTATCTCATTTATTATTATTTTCTTGTTTGTAATGTGTTTCATCAAGATGAGGCATTTCTTTGAAAAATACACTGAAAAAATGATGTATCTCTCTCTCTCTCTCTCTCTCTCTCAACATTATTTTAATTGAAAATAATCTTGTTGATTTAACAATAGTTAGGGTTACCAACCGTACTCTTTTAAGAGTACATGTACTCTTTTCAAAGTCGGACAACAGCGTACTCTTACTTTTTACTTATTGTACTCTATTTTGAGAAATGAGACGAAATTTAAAAAATTATTATTTAATATTTACATTTATTACTTTACAAAAAAGTTTTGCTTGGCTTGTACTAAGGCTTTGGCCATTATGTAAAATATAAATATTTATTTACATATTATATAGAGGTTTTGATAGAGATTTGGTTATATATATTTGTTGAAGAAAGTTATAAATAGCAAAATATATATAGCAAAATATGTTAAATACATGAATCAATTTTATTTTCTCAATTTTATTAACATTAACATTAAAAAATCTGGAAGTAAAATATAAAGAAACATATTTATTCGTAACTTTATGAAGACTGAATAGACGTTGTCAATAAAAATTCTAAAAATGTCATTTTATTGAATGCCAGCATTTAAAATAAAAAAGTTCGTCATCTTTTTTCTTTTTTTTTTAGAAAGTATACTCTTTTTGCATATCAATGTACTCTTTTCGTGCGACCAAGAGTTGGTAACCCTAACAATAGTAGATATTAATGAAACAAATAACATTTAATTAAAACAAGAATATGATATATTTGTTTCATTAATAGTGTTATTGAATTAACAAAATTATTTTTAATTAAAATAATGCTGTTGATATAACATAATTTTTTTCATTATATCTTCATTTTTCCTTCTAATGTTTAGTTCGGAAATTAAGGCATTCATAAGTTGATTCTTCATGAGAAAAACATAAATATACCGGAAGATTTTCAACAACGCTATTAATGATATTGAGAATGGCATTTGTAAACGGAAGGTCCTCCGATTGTATTGCGTTTGTCAATTGTTAAAAATTGCACGTCGGAATGTGACGAAGATTTCGTAATCGGCAGCCGAGTTTTCAAATGTAATCCTTCCCGGAATAAAACATCATCGGATCATCAATGATCCTTCAATTCGAAACGATTGCGGATGCAGTTGAGTATCGATCCGATGCCTATGATCACGTCCGTATCACGAAAGTGACTGACGGAAATAAAGCTACACGGTAAGTTCTAAATAGCCGATCGTTGGTTCGAACGTGCCAAAATTCTCCACATGACATGTATTGATTATTTTTCGTTCCCTGCATCATCTAATCCACGTTTTTCCTTGTGACGCAAGCTCGAATCGGAAATAAAACCGCGCGGGATGGAACGGTTGTTAGCATTAACTGCGATTAGCTATATTTTTCTATTAGATATAAGGATAAATCAAGACAGATGTGCATTGAATATAAATTGTATCTTCTCTCTCTCTCTCTCCACTATTTCAGGAATGACGTTACTTTGCGAAAATGACGAGAAACTGTTGCAACATCATGCAATTTTAGCCATGTTGGCGAGAAGCTTAAAAATGAAAAATAAAAATTATAAAGAATAAAAATAAAAAGTTATAATAATTAACGAAATAATTATGCATCTGCGACCTAAATTATGAATGACATAATACGATATTTATTTCTGATTACTCGATCGCTTGTCAGTTTTATAATTTTAATATCATTTTAGGAGTAACAATAACGAGTTGAGTTATTCAGTAAAATTGTTTCCTTGCTTTTTCGTTTATGTACTTAAGTATAATTTATTTTGATCTGCTTGAAGATAAATTGTGTCCATGAATCCGAGATTCCAATTAAGCATATGAAATGATATTATCTTCGCAGTGACTCAGTTTTTTCCTTATGACATCTGATATAATCAGAGCTATTACGTACAACAATGAGACTGAAGGATTTTACAGTTATAGCATTATAATTAGTCATATTTTTCGCAAAATGTTAAGCAAAAAGATATATTTTTTTGGAGGGAAGATATATATAAAAATATTTTCAGTAAACGATGAGCGCGCGAGTTAGAGCAATACTTTTTCTATTAGTAATACTTTTTGTAGAAATAGCATCTTGAAAACCTGCCAGTTTCAAATATCTGTTTGAAATTTGGGATCATTATAATTTATGATCTAAGTGCATAGCAAACGACTTTTACGAAGAAAACGACACGACACATCCGACACGGCAGTAATCCATTTAACTTTTGAGTCCGAAGGTTAGAAGTGAATCATACGGTTTCACAGTATATATATATATGTGTGTGTGTGTACATGTACAGATGTATGCTTCATTGGAGTAAAGCCCGATAGAGATATTCATTTCTTCAATTTGTAATTGTTTTTCTGTTCCAATTGTCATAATTACCGAATCACTGTTATTCCCAATGACTCAATGAAAATTAATATATCAATTTAGTAATCATTAAGGCAAATCTCAAGCTAATGAAAATTAATGAAGGGAGAATATATTCTTTTTTAAAGGTAGAAGGCATCTCCCAAAGATGAATTTCTGTCCAGCCAAATTATGGCTAAAATACTGAGAAAATCGCAATGTAATTGCAATATTCGTAATCAGAAAAGTCGTCTACAAATCTCTAATTTTAATAAATTTTAATAAATTTTAATAAATTAAATTTTAATAAATTTTTGGAAAAAAAAAAAGAAAATAAAAATTCCTTCTGATATCTGCATTATCCACTTAATCTACATCAATAGAAATGGACATAGTTCAAGGTATATAGTTTAAGCAAAGATTTTTATTTTAAAAGTAGAATTATAAAAGACAGTTCATTATACATTTCAATTTCTTTTAAAATTTTGATGGAACAAATTTTAAACAATATAAATGTGAAAGTATAAGCAAGGCAAATCAAGAATAAAAGAAATAGAGGACAATAAATTTTTCCTTTTTTTATTATCCATCCTGATGGTTTTTTTAAAAGTCTCAAAATAAAGTTTAGGTAAAAAGAAAATGGGTAAAATTACCGGATTTTTTTTATCTAAACGATAAAACTTTTTTTATGTGCACGTTTTCTTATATCTTTTTTTATGTGCTGAATCATTTGCAAACGTATATTTCAAACTAATCTGATGGGAACATATTGAAAATCGCATTAAAAGTAGCACAATTTTGTCAAAATCTAATCTTTGATTGCAATTTTCAATATTTTCCCAACAGTTAGCTTGAAAGTAACGTTCGCAAATGATTCAGCATATCAAAAAATACGAAAAAAACTGTTGTATAAGAAAGGTTCCGCTTTCAGTCATCGCTTAAGCTAAAATTGACTATTTTACTCAATATCCTGGACAATGAATAAAATAAGTCAGTTTTCACCAATGGAATTTTTCTTGCACGTTTTATTATTTTCTTTTACGTGTTGAATTATTTGCAAATGTCAATTTCAAGCTAAATTGATACGAAAATATTGAAAATTGCAATCGGAGATCAGATTTCGACGAAATTGTGCTACTTTTAATGCGATTTCCAACATGCTCCTATCAAATCAGTTTGAAATAAATGTTGAGAAGTTCAGCACATAAAAGAATACAAGAAAACGTGCGTAAGAAATGTTCCATCTTTTAGGATTATGATTAAAATATTAACCGAAATCCGATATTTCTTCCGGAAGAAATCCATCTTCCTTTGTCAGCTTCAATGACAATGTCAGGTCAATTCTCCTTTGTCCCTGACCTTTTTGTGACGTTTCCTTCGGTTGGAGGGATGTGTTGTGTCTTCTACCACTCCGTGCAGTACCTTGACGCAAAGTCTAAAGAGAAAAGATGTTTCTACCCTCCTACCTGGGTTTTCGAAGGTTTCACCACTGACGAGATACTATTAAAGACCGTCAACCCTGGGCAAATTTTCGGCGGTATAAAAAGGGTCCCAAGGGCTTGGAGGTAATCGAAGAACGCTGCCATTTTCGACAATTGATATAAATTTGCTATTATTAACATAAATATTTGACTAATACATTATTAAATTCATGATATTTTATTACATAAATGCTCTATAAATAAATATGCATATTTGTAAAGCTATAATATCCTATATATTGCCGAAAAATTACAATTTTTTTCTCTGCAGTTATTATCTCTGTTGACAATCGAACTTTGACGATAACACTGAAATCACAATTTTAAAGAAAAATCGAGTATTATTGAGTTTTAAATGCACGTACACGATAAACACGTTTACTAAACTAATAAATCATAAAATTAGTACAATATTATCAGTTTTTTTACTCTTAATCACTTCGATATTAACAAGGACGCGAACTCCCATAAGGATGTCGGTCTTTAATAATATCTCGTCGGTGCCTTAATTTATTCGAGTTTCGCGCCTCCGGTCATAATTTTTGCCGCGCTGCGTTTTGATTGGCCGAGAGGCTGGCGTAGCTGGTTCATCCGCCAATCGGAATTCCGCTTCGTTTGTTCGGCCGCTCGGGCGCTCGCCTGTCGACCCGCTGTTATCGGAGTATTTGCGGAGCAGCGAGAACAGCCGGTCGATTACACAAGTTCCGCCGTCCCGGCATAACCCGCATAACCAGTGTACTTCGTACCACGCGAAGACTTAACCTCGTCTTCTCTCAGTCTCGTCAGTCTCGTGTACATTTGCACATCGTCGCTCGCCACCGTTGCCTCGTGCGCAATCTTGCCGTCGTCGTCGTCGCCGTCGGACCGGCGTAAGTAGAGAACGCAGGCGCGTTTCTCCTCGGCGCATTTCGGCGCCTGTACGGAACGAGTTACGAGAGTGTGGAGGAGCGGCAGCGAATCACGTGCGCGCGCGCGCGAGAGAGGACAGTCCGTGTTATCGCGCCGAACGTTGATCATCGCCGTTGATCCTCGACGTCGTTCGTTATCGTCGTTCAAGGAGCGTTGTAAACCGCGTTCCTCATTCTCGTCCCACGTGCCGAGTGCGCGATGAACCGCGACAGCGAGAACAGGGGACGAAATGGCCACGTGCTTGTGTGGGAACAGCCCGGACTCGACGAGGACGAGCGGGAAAGAAGAAGAAAAAAAGGTATGTGTCTCTCCCGAGCCGTTCGACCGGCCTCACCGACGCGACGCGGAAATTGCTGATCCGCCAATTTTTTTTTTATTTCCTAAGCGAGTGAGAATCGAAGCGAAAAACCCTCGATATTTCTCTCGGCTTCTCGCGGTATATTCTTGTCGCCGTGCAAACCGGAGTTTCCGGACTGCTCTTTCTCGCGGACGAGCGGTCGAGACAAACGTGACTTCGTCATTGACATAAATCTGCATAAAAATAGCCGATAGGCACGCGCAGGAAACAGAGAACGTTCCAAGAAATTCCTCGGAAAAGCTCTTCTTCCATTCGATTCGGAATGAATGCCGTGCCGAATGAAATATTCGAAAGGACGCGCGATTCCGGAGCGCGACGTTCAAGAAATTCCGACTTCGTGCACTCCATAATTCTCGTGTCGCGAAATGCTGTAATCCGAGACGAGGTGTACTCGGGCGCGATATTCGTCTCGACGGCGGTAGACCACGTGTTCGGCTGTACACGTTCATGCTTCTCTCTCTCTCTCTCTCTCGCTCTCTATTTCTCAAATTTTGTTTATTTTGATTTTTATTTTCAATTTTATCGTCAAATCGATATCGTCTTACGACGATCGCCTGTAAAATTTTCTTTTTATTTTTATTTTTGTAATTTTATTTTAAGTATTTATTTTCACTTTCTTTTACTTTATTAGTCAATTATGTATTTCTTTTTAACGCTTGAGAGAATCTGATTTTAAAGCGCTTAATAAGTAAACGATATCTGTCTATCTCTCTCTTTCTCTCTCTCTCTCTCTTATTATTTAATATTACTTAAATTTATAAAATTTAAATTAATTTAGTAGTTTAGATTTGTAAGAGTTGTATTTGAAATAGCTAAGGAAATCATTCATTCATTCACTCTCTTTCTCTCTCTCTCTGATTTTCTTCATTCAAATGGCACGATAGATAAAGCGCTACTAGATTTCTATTCAAAATGTGACTTCGAACTTCAAATATCTATTACCTATCGATATTTAATTAATTATTAAACTCTATCTATCACAATGTATGAGTCACATCTATTTTTTTATCTAAGAATTTTTCTAAATTTCCATGATCAGTTATTGCTTTTATCCAAATAGATTATACTAAATCTTACACTAATTCTTAAGCCTTTTTCTTCCTTTCTAAAAATCATATCAATTAATATTTTTTATATCAAAACACATAGCATTACTAGTTATTATTTAACGAAATTTGCCTTTTTTATTTGTACGAAGATCTTTCTCAATCTGGACCACATTTTTAATCAACTGCGAATGAACCTGCAATCTATTTCTTTGTACCTTCTCTACTTTATCGAATAAAGACTAGTAGACAGTTTTCTCTCTCTATCCATTTTAATACTTTATAAAATATATATATATAATATATACATATATATATATATATTACGTGCGTCTCATTAGTAACGCATATAATTTAATATCACATTTTACGTTTCAGATATGCGGATATCTTAAATAGGAAAATTTCTTTTTTATTTTTAAAGAGTATTTTGCATTGCGATTTTTATGTTACAAAGACGTTAAATCATGCTGGCTAAGAATGTCCACGCGTCTTGCAACGATAATGTTTCACAGTTGGTTTTCTAATGTTTACGCAATTATAATGCATATTGATCAGTTATTTGTCGATTTCCGCGAGAAAAAGCTGACGCTGAAATTTTTTTCATTTTTATCACCTATTTATTGCATAAATTTTCTGTAAATATTTAAATATCTGCTACTCAAAGTGTATATTTTATAATTTGTAGTTAATTTCAATGTTAAATCGTTTGAATGGAGATAAAAATTCTGTAATAATCTTCGTATAGTGTAATCAAATTTTATAGTAGCATTCGGAAGAACCAACCGAAATAAGCATTTCGAATTTTCTCGTAAATGAATGAAGATCAAATATTTTTCGTCTTTAATTTTATCTAATCGACTAGTAAAATAAATATGAATTCAAAGAACTTTTAGGACCTTTTAGAAATTTGGAAGAATTTATGAAGGTCTTAAAAATGTAGTTTTACAGAGTAATTACATATAGATTCAAATACTTGAAGAATTAATTTTGCGATAGGCCATTATGCCGAGTTCAACTCAAGATATAAAGCAATAACAAATTAATATATTACATATAGGAGTTTTTGTTCTCTTTTTCTTTCATTTTTATGCGAAAAAATAAACAATTCGAAACGTCCACATGCACAGGACTTTAATTACCATTTATTTATTATCTTTCAAACCTTTTTTTTCCGTCCTAGGTCTCAAGAGATAAAAACTTTCGTTTTCTTTTGACTCGGACTTGACCGAAAGGGACTAATCGTTTTTTCTTCTTAGAAGTTAGGTTTAAAAAGATTTAAGGCTTTTGTTCTTTTATCTTGGACGTGACCAAAAGGATCCTAATTTTACACACACATACACATTTTTTTTTCACAAAAGAAAAATTTGTAGATTTTTCTTTGTAAACTGCACGACCGTTCTCAGCAAAAGCTTTCACAATTATTATTTCTTGAATGCTTGTATCGAATTGTAGAAACATTGCCCACCTTTTTACATTTCTTTTTCAGAAATATGAAACGATTTTACAACAATACAATGTACATATATCAAAGGAATTTATGTTATACTCTAAAAATAACTGGCAAAAAGTATGTGAACTGAATTTTATAAAAATTCAAAATATACTTAAATTTATTATCTGCAAAATGTACCACGATACGCAATTATTTAAAAGTTAGTGATTTAACTTTATTAATCGAAGACACGGAATATCGCGATAAATTTAATGAATTTTGTTAACGAAAAATAATTATAAATAGTAATTATTAAGTATAAGCATGCGTATATACATATTATACACACCAATAAAAAACGATAATAATTAGTAAAATATCTTGTAAAATAACAAAAAATTATTCCACACAGAAATAATTTACATTATCGCAAAAGAATTAATTTAAAGAGCATCGTTTTGCCAAGCAAATTAAAGGAAAAAGCGGGTGCACGCGATGAGAGACATGGCATTCATTGCCTCGATGATGACGCATCGCGAAAACGGTCGCTATCTGGATAAGAGTACGGATACGAAATATCCGTTCTTTCGCGGAAACGCATCGCTCGTATTACGCATTTGTTTATCCAAATGGAGAACTGTTTATCGCAATTCCAGAAAAATTGCTGCGGGGGTTTTTCGGCGGACACACGGACTCGAGGAATGTTCGAGAACAAAGTGCGTTTTTCTCGCGATAGGTGACGTCAAGGCCACCGAATGACTTGTGTATTTAGCTGCTATCGCAAAAATAGTGTACAACGTGCTGCACATTCGGCATGCGTAAAAGATGTCCTAAAATTCCCGCGAGGACTCGTTACTTTTTATCCGCGGAATTTTCAATCAGTTTTGCATTTGCTTTTTTCTATAAAAAAAAGGGATAAAAACAGCGAATAATTGGGGGTTTATATAAAAGATTTACGAGAGAATAGGCAAAATTTTTTCTTTAAGTAGACTTTAGTCGGTTTTCCACGAAATTAATTCCAACATTAGATTGGAAAAATTGGAAGAATTAAAGTTTCGAGTTTGATAAAGTTCATTAAAATAGAGATTTCTGTCGTAGAGAAAATTGTTGCATGAAAGATCGATACTCGCTAGTTTACTCCATAAATACTTGATTTAAATTTAGATTTGGAGCATCTGCGAAAAAAAGAGGAGCAGAATGTTCATGGAGTGTTCCGTGTAATGTCAATCAAAATTAATATATCGTCTGTTTACCACAATTATGATAGCTCGTTGCCTATCGAATTTATCTCTGTAAACGCAACGAAGAGGCAATACATGACCATAAATTACTGTCGATGATAACAAAGTTTAAAACTGCCGATATTTTGACCAGATTGAAGTTCAATCTTCTCCGAACTGAATTTCTGCGAAAGATCGATGTTTTACTTCTTCATAAATATATATATTCTTATTTTATTTGAAAGATTTTTTTCAGAAACTTCTTTGAAGAAATGTGATTAATTATGCAGTATAAGGGACTATCCTTTGATGACCTTGACCATAACATATGTTGTCAAGTTCATGACCTTGAGTGACCTCCAACAGGTTTTAGCCTGCTTTACAAACAAATTTTTTACTTTAAAACCATACTTTTCTCTTTTAAAACATAAATTCTCTGCTTTAAAAACACAAATTTTCTGCTCTAAAGGCACAAAAATTATATAAGAAAATATTTTGCGCTGTTAAAGCAAGGAATTTGTTTCATCGGAGCGCAGTCGTGTCCAAAAGTTAGGTTTTATCGATGAACTGTTTTTGTTAATAACTTTTTAAGGAACAAATTTGTTCAAAGTAACTCGGGGTCATGACTTTGACAACATATGTCAAGGTCAAGGTCATTGGAGGGTAATCCCTTATACTGCATAATCACCGAAATACGATATGTTTTATCTATAAAGGAGAATAATATACGTAATGATACGTTTATATACATATTAATATTATTTTTAATTTTTATTTTTTTATATAAACAATTAATATATATTATCATATTCTCACCGGCTTTCATTTTTTCGTAAACAAGTTATGGATATTTTGTCGAGAATTTCTATTCCGTCTTTATTTTTCCGATAAAGATAGGCCTTTATCAGGTAGATTTTGTTCTTATGGGTACGTGAATTACGACACACTTCATATCATTGTTGATTGTATGGCACTAATGCTTACGTGTGATACAAAAATTATTTGGATTTCTATCCAATAGATTGTCTATAATATTTATCGTCAATAATATTAACGTTTCAGTACAAAGTCATTTATTTCGAAATCGCTTTATCTTGGATCATTATTTCGAAATATATATATATCGAAATAAATATTATCATTAATTAACCATTAAAAAATCAAATTTTTGGTATATATCTAATGAATTCATTACTATGAATAGGTACGTATTATTAATACTAATTGAAATTGAAAATA